AGGCAGGCACACTGACCTGGATAGGCCTGGATTTGAGGCCTCTCCTTCCTCTGTGGAGCTGGAGATGGCAGGGAGCTTACGAAGACCTCCTCCTTTACCCCCCCATCGCTCTCCCTCCAGGAGCCCTCCATTGGGCCTCCACGACGGCACCTCCGTCAAAGGGAGGCTCCCATTGATGTCTTTGGGGAGGCACACTGACCTGGATAGGCCTGGATTTGAGGCCTCTCCTTCCTCTGTGGAGCTGGAGATGGCAGGGAGCTTACGAAGACCTCCTCCTTTACCCCCCCATCGCTCTCCCTCCAGGAGCCCTCCATTGGGGAGGCCTCCACGACTCTGGCTGTGGAGAAGAGCAGGAGGGTCCTCGAGTGCACCGGTGCGAGGATTAGTCCGTTTAGACTCTCGCAAATCAGGTAGGATTCCCACCTTACCTCCGACATTAAGAGAAGATGTTGAAGAGTTAGAAGAAGAGTAAGCCGAGTCTGTAACATTAGTGTCACCCGAAGAGGCTGGGAGCACCCCTAAAGCTTGTTGGGAGCCAGGGAGCTGTAGCGACCTCATTTCCCCTCCAGTGGATGCTTTACCCTGCACAGATTTGGTTTGTTGCGTGTTGGCCAGAAACTCGGCCTCAAAGCTGCGATATAGGTCTTGCTCCTTTTGAGGGTCCAGACTTGCCAGCAGGTGTAAACTAAAAATACCACTGTCTTCCTGGCTCTCCTGCTGCTGGTTGTAGGGATTTGCCCAACCTTTTTGGTCTCTCCCTGTGGGTCGTGAATTGTGTGCAGACCGAGGGGAACGTGGTGGGTGGTGATGACTTGATCGAGGGGAAGAATGCGGAGAGCGGCGCCCTGGCTGTGTGACAGGAGGAAGCAACTTTCGACTGCCAGTGGAAGGCGACAAAGGCGCAGGGGGGCGTGGCGCTACCATCCCCTTTTTCACAGGACTACCGCTGGCACAGCTTTTCACAGGTGAGTTAGAGGCTGAGGAAGATGCTTGCCTTCTGGGCAAACTTCCATTTGTTTTTGAGGATGCTGCGGGCATGTGCTTGGGTCTTAGTTCCTCTCTCCGATCTACTGAAAGAGAATGAGGGTCTCTGCGGCGAGGTGATGATCCAAGGCTGACGTCACCCAATCTAGGAGTCTTGCCCTGGCTGAGGGAGCGTGGAGCCAGCAGCTTCCTAGGACCTTCGGGTCCTAGTGATCTGCCTCTCTCTGTGCGGGGAGTTCGATGTACCTCTGTTGGGACCTGTGGTGGAGTAGGTTTCAAGACTGAGGTGGACAGTGGTGCAGGGCGCTCTCTGGAAGCACTACGGGCACGGGTCTGAGGGGTTCTCAGGGCTGGAATCTGTGCTCCCGCTCCAGGACGCTCAATAATGTGTTTCCCTTCCTTACGGTTCACCAGTAGAACCACCTTGTCTCTATGAGCATGCCGTGTACCCAGAGAGAAGCGACCTCCTCCTGGGCTTCCTCCTCCACCTTTAGACGAGGCTGTAGAAGAGTCACTATCTCCTGATAGCCTGCGAGTCAGAAGAGATTCCTTATTCCTGTGTGTAAGAGAAAAGAGAGAACGATTAAGATTAAGATGGATATTGGGATGTATGGGATTACAAAAAAAACAAAAAAACAAGCCATAATTCTCAAACATCTTATTTTTATGATATTTTTGACATATTTTGTGTCACATACACATCACCTTAAAGGCCTTTAATTTCTTTCTTGGTATTCTTGGTTAGAATTACTAATCCACATAACTTCCATAATCTCCATGATTTTATGTGATACTTATCACATTTAACAACATTGAGAATCTGTACCAAGCATGCAGGGAAATGCATGCAAGGTTGTATCCTCAGCAGCCATATTTTTGGATTAAAGAAAACCATCATATAGGAAGGGAGAGAGAGGGATTACTCATGCTCTGGCATTATCAAACACACGCACACAGACACTTTCTTACATACACTACCTCTTAAATTCTTAAGAATGAAACTGACATTGTCCCTCTTTCCTTTAACCTTAAACTGGCTTGTGTAAACCGAGACAAAACACTAAAAACAGAGTGTGTTTATGAATAAAATCACTGCTTTAAAATAATTTCTTAAACTTAGAACTTCCAGATCCCAAAATACACTTGAAAGTGAAAGTGCTACCTTATTCTGCCCTCATTTGATTTTATTCAAATATACACTCTTATTTAGACAAGAAAGTGAAAAACACACACCATGACACCCGGGTTCTGTAATGGGACCTGCATAAACCCTGTTCTGACCGGTTTCTTCAGTGACAGACTTGGGGGCTGAGATTATCCTAATCTTCAGTAATCCAGTCTGCCTCACCTGCAGCTCTGGGAGTGCAAGTGTTAAAGTGTGCTGCTCTGACGCTTGGCCTTCATCATTAGTTAGCCTACGGAAACCGAGGCACACAGCCAAGGTAAACCAGCAAGCTGTTCATGGTCCAGTTATACAATGTCTTGGCTGCACACACGGACATACAATATACCATGTGATGGAAATAATGAAGCACCTTTTGAAACTTCAGGATGTTTAGGAGTTATTTGTTCATTGCTCTAAGTGTGCAGTGATGCATAAAGTGTTTATATAGTCATGCTTAAATATTAATTTCAGGCAGTTGTAAAAGAAAGAAAGAAAATATATATAACTGTCCATTTGCTCAGGAAATACTAAAAAAATTAATGACTAAAAAATATATACATTTATCCAAAACATGTTATCACTTGCATAATTAGGCAGAGAGAACACTGTGTCTACTTGTAAAATTGTAATAATTTTTTTCTAACACAAGGGGGAGTCACAAACTGGACAAGAAGAGGATTGATGTCAGGACAATGTCACCTGGGATTAGTTCAAATCTGCTTGCAATAATCTGCGGGTGGGTGTGTGTGTGTGTGTGTGTGTGTGTGTGTGTGTGTGCCTTAAGATGCAGCTCATCGTGGGGGTACAGTGCACAAGTAGAGTGCTATAATTTGTGTCGAGTTAACTAGGTCAGTGTGAGCAAATGGCAGACACCCCGAAGGATCTATACAGACAAAACAACTGTACAAACACACAATCATGCAAAGAGTGCACCCTTTTCATATACAGTGATTCTGAGAATGACATTCTTTTCTTTGTTTTATTTTATTTTATTTATTTTTTCCTCTCTTATCATCACTATTCATATTTCTTTTTGTATGGTGAAAGTAATGGCTTTGGTTTGGCAAAAAACTAAACTCAATATCATCAATAAATTAATAAAATATGAAATGTACACTTAATTTCAAAGTCCCTTCTTAAAATTTATATTTGGAAAATGTATGAATTGTTTTATGTAGTGTTTACAAGATTTGACATGTTTATACTTCTTACATCCAAAGAAATGTTTTTTCTATAATATAAAAATTGGTGACTTTCACATTCACTTTCTAGGTGTTTTTGATTCCAGTGAGACTTTTGGGTACTTCTGTTTTAGGTGCTTTCCAATGAGCTCTAAACACGCACACAAACACACACTGCTAAAAACCCAAACACACCTTCGCTGACCTGAGAGGATTCAAGTGGCGTGGTTCTGATCTGTCTTGTGGCGGTCGAGGCAGGTGCTTTAGGTGCTTTCCAATGAGCTCTAAACACGCACACAAACACACACTGCTAAACACCCAAACACACCTTCACTGACCTGAGAGGATTCAAGTGGCATGGTTCTGATCTGTCTCGTGGCGGTCGAGGCAGCAGTGTCGTGGGTCGCCCTGCGTTAGTCTCCATCTCCACAGGTACAGCTGCATGGTGCGACCTGCCAGGCCGTGATGGAGAGGAATGTGCTGTAGCGCCCAACACAGGGTCCAAAGAGCGCCTATCGGGGGTTTTGTAGGGTGCCATGCCCTCATTGCGCCAGTGAGGTCCTGGGCTTGTGGAGCGGGAGGAGTGAGTGCTGGAGCTCTTACTGTGAGGACCCTGGCCACTTGCTTTAGCCTGCTGATACCGGTGAGCTGTTGAGGTCAAAAAAGGCAGTTCTTTTAATATTCACAAGACAAAAAGATGATAAACTTCAAAATCATAAGTGTTTTTAAACCTTTATGTACAATTGTTATGGTAAGATTACATGCTCATGAAAAGGTATTGTCTTGTACATTACCGTTCAAAAGCTTAGGGTCAGTAAGTGTTTTTTTAAAGAAATTAATAACCACAAAACACTAGAATAATAATAACCACAAAACACTAGAAACAAAAACTTATATAACATGATTTTTTATTGTAACAAAGAAAACAATCGATGTGAGAAACACATGTAGTATTGTTGAAAAATTCCAAGAAGTCTCACAGCTCAGAAACAGGAAATGACACAAGTGGTGATCTCACCGAATGCGGCGCAGCGACAGGGATCGTGTTTGTCGAGGTAATGCTCAAGTGTGTCCCAACCTCCACCCACGCGCACCATCACATGAGTCCGTAACACCTACACAGAGAGAGATGTTAACACCTTTCACGCACACAATAACATGCACAACCAAAATAAAATTCTCCTCTAATGTGCATGAATATAGTGGTCATATACAGTAACAAATACCCAAATTGTTTTATAAACCTTTTATACAGCTGATAAAAGAATTTTAGAAAATCAAAAATGAATATTGATGATTGTAGCCCTAGAAATGTAAACAGCTGGTTAAAAGATCCAGCCTGAAGACTGATTATTCAGCGGTAGATAACAGAAGTTTTGCTAAATGGAAAACGGAGTAAAAGATTGAGTCTCAGAGCTTTGAAACAAAAACATCACAGCGTATACTTTTAAGGTATGATATAATTTGTTGTTCAGTACAATGAAAGAATCAGTAGAGGTTAGATCCGCAAGGAACTGTATGAAAATCAAATTGGTCAATGTATTAATTTTGTCCATTTGTAAATGTGACACGTGCAGAGCTGTGAAACAAGCTAACAAATTCGATTTTTCTGAAGAATAATTCAGCAGTTCTTGCCTATGCAAAAGTCACTTCTACAAAGAGTATTCCATTGTGAATGGTTCCTAGGGTGATGCTAGTTCATGGCTAGGGAGTTATGGGTGATTTCTCACTGGCCCATGTCAAAATAAGCCCACCCCTAAGTCTCTATACTATTTAACCCCCTAAACATACCTCAGGTCCCTCTTTCAATATAAGTCTATGGTATTTTTTATCTGTTTTATTGTTCACCAGGAAAAGCCTGATCACTTAGCAAAATACATATCTTACCTCTCCACAACAAACTATAAAGTATGAGTTATTTTTCATGTCCGTAGCACAAGTAGTAGGGTTAGTTTGTTTAAATCCCTAACCCTCATTATGGGCAATAATAATAGTGACTCTTATCTTCAAACACCACTAATAATACAGGTGGAACAACATGACAGTCAGTTGATTATTATAAGCTCAACCCCCATGTCCTATAACACTGTTTAACAGAGATGCCCACCAACACTTCCTCCATCCACCTCACTGCAGCCTCCATTCGCCTTCATTATCATGACAACACGCTATGACAGAGCTGGAGAGAGAACAAAAAGACATCACGCACCGGCACACTCTCCCTCATTCAACCCCCTCTCAGCTGGTATTCAGAGAGAGGGGAATGGAGGAGATTTAGCATCGAAAACAGCTCTACTTTTGCTCCAAGCCCTGTTTCTTTAGCTCTTCTCTGATGAACAGAGAGAAATGTAAGATAAGAGACTGCAACTGATTCCTTTATCAAAAACGCTCAGTCAGGAAAACGCTATCTTTCACATTTTCACTGTTGTTGACTGTGTACTTCGAACCTGTTGCAGCAAAGCTCTTTATAGTTTGATCATTGCTAAACTCCATCTGCTGAGCACATGGTAAGGAATGAATAATCATGTGGTGAGTATCTGTGTGCTGTTGCCATGAAAAGAGAGCACATCTGCTGACTGGCACTATGCCCACCTGCACAAACTTACACAAGGTCTCATTTTTACAAAGACTGAAACACTCACAAATACAAGCTAAACCTTAAACTGAACTGTATCTAGGTCTGTAATTCTTCTACACAGTTCTCTGCTTGTTTCTGGATGTCTTTCCTACATAAAGATGACAGGTAAGTAGCCATACACAAAATAATTAATGTACATTATATTAATCCGTTTTATTAATCATAATTACAATAGAAATAGAAATAACTAACATTTCTGATTTCTGTCATAATTATGCAGTATTTTGCAAATGATAGGCCTGTTCATTTAACAGTGCACAAGCAGAGTGCTATAATTTGTGTTGAGTTAACTAGGTCAGTGTGAGCAAATGGCAGACACCCTGAGGGATCTACACAGACAAAACAACTGTACAAACACACAATCATGCATGTGTCCCAGTCATAACGCTTCAAGCTTCAATTCTTCTCATACAAGGATTGCATTCTCTCCATATCCATCCATGCATATAGTGATTCTGTGATTTTTTTTCTCTCTTTTTATTACTATTCATATTTCTTTCTGTCTGGACAAGGTATTGGCTTTTTCATGTCTTAGAAAAAAAATGTATACTATATATTAAAATTATATTATTAATAAATATAATACATTATGAAATATATACTTTCTTTCAAAGTCTCTTCTTAAAATGTATATTTATAAAATGTATTAATTGTTTTAGGTAGTGTTTACAAGAGCAGTCATGTTTACACTTCTTATATCCCAAGCCAATTTTCTTAAATTTGAATAAATAAGATAAATAAACAAGAGCTGACTTTCACATTCATTTTCTAGGTGTCTTTGATTCCGGTGTGATTTTGGGTACTTTTCTATTTTAGGTACTTTCCAAGGAGCTGTAAACATGCACACATGCATACACACACACACACACACACACGCACACTGCTTAACACCCAAACACACCTGCACTGACCTGAGAGGATTAAAGTGGCGTGGTTCTGATCTGTCTCGTGGTGGTCGAGGCAGCAGTGCTGTGGGCCGCCCTGTGTTAGTCTCCATCTCCACAGGTACAGCTGCATGGTGCGACCTGCCAGGCCGTGATGGAGAGGAATGTGCTGTAGCGCCCAACACAGGGTCCAAAGAGCGCCTGTCGGAGGTTTTGTAGGGTGCTATGCCCTCATTGCGCCAGTGAGGTCCTGGGCTTGTGGAGCGGGAGGAGTGAGCACTGGAGCTCTTACTGTGAGGACCCTGGCCACTCGCTTTAGCTTGCTGATACCGGTGAGCTGTTGAGGTCAAAGAAAGGCATCATTCAGCTCTTTTAATATTCACAAGAAAAATGATGATGAACTTCAACATCATAAGTGTTTTTAAACCTAATACACATGTAAATGGAAAAAAAGTGGGGAAAAAAGCCTTGTTAATGTGTCTTGTACACTACTGTTCAAGTTTAGGGTTAAAACATAATTTTTTTTTTATTAATACTTTTATTCTTAAGGATACATTACATGGCAGCAGTAATGGCTGTTGGCAGCTTTGCCATCAAAGGAATAAAAGAAATTTTAAAATATATTAAAGTAGCAAACAGTCATTTTAAATTGTAATAATATTTCACAATAGTACTGTTTTACTGTATTTTCGATTAAATAAACCCAGCCTTGGTCATCAAAGGTGTTTGTATAATTTTTCAGTAAGTTGTATGGCAATATATGGATTATATAAGAATATGGCAATATATGAATATATGAACTTAGGCAGCTTTTACCAATCTGTTCTAAAAGCCCAAAGACAGATTGAATTACACTATTAGTGTTGAATAATGAAGGGACTAACCCTCATTAAACACAAAACGCTAGAAACAAAAACTCGTATAACTTGATTGTATGATACTGTGAGAAAGTAAACAATCAGACGTGAGAAGCACATGTAGTATTGTTGAAAAATTCCAGTAAGTCTCACAGCTCAGGGACAGGAAGTGACACAAGTGGTGATCTCACCGAATGCGGCGCAGCGACAGGGATCGTGTTTGTCGAGGTAATGCTCAAGTGTGTCCCAACCTCCACCCACGCGCACCATCACATGAGTCCGTAACACCTACACAGAGAGAGATGTTAACACCTTTCACGCACACAATAACATGCACAACCAAAATAAAATTCTCCTCTAATGTGCATGAATATAGTGGTCATATACAGTAACAAATACCCAAATTGTTTTATAAACCTTTTATACAGCTGATAAAAGAATTTTAGAAAATCAAAAATGAATATTGATGATTGTAGCCCTAGAAATGTAAACAGCTGGTTAAAAGATCCAGCCTGAAGACTGATTATTCAGCGGTAGATAACAGAAGTTTTGCTAAATGGAAAACGGAGTAAAAGATTGAGTCTCAGAGCTTTGAAACAAAAACATCACAGCGTATACTTTTAAGGTATGATATAATTTGTTGTTCAGTACAATGAAAGAATCAGTAGAGGTTAGATCCGCAAGGAACTGTATGAAAATCAAATTGGTCAATGTATTAATTTTGTCCATTTGTAAATGTGACACGTGCAGAGCTGTGAAACAAGCTAACAAATTCGATTTTTCTGAAGAATAATTCAGCAGTTCTTGCCTATGCAAAAGTCACTTCTACAAAGAGTATTCCATTGTGAATGGTTCCTAGGGTGATGCTAGTTCATGGCTAGGGAGTTATGGGTGATTTCTCACTGGCCCATGTCAAAATAAGCCCACCCCTAAGTCTCTATACTATTTAACCCCCTAAACATACCTCAGGTCCCTCTTTCAATATAAGTCTATGGTATTTTTTATCTGTTTTATTGTTCACCAGGAAAAGCCTGATCACTTAGCAAAATACATATCTTACCTCTCCACAACAAACTATAAAGTATGAGTTATTTTTCATGTCCGTAGCACAAGTAGTAGGGTTAGTTTGTTTAAATCCCTAACCCTCATTATGGGCAATAATAATAGTGACTCTTATCTTCAAACACCACTAATAATACAGGTGGAACAACATGACAGTCAGTTGATTATTATAAGCTCAACCCCCATGTCCTATAACACTGTTTAACAGAGATGCCCACCAACACTTCCTCCATCCACCTCACTGCAGCCTCCATTCGCCTTCATTATCATGACAACACGCTATGACAGAGCTGGAGAGAGAACAAAAAGACATCACGCACCGGCACACTCTCCCTCATTCAACCCCCTCTCAGCTGGTATTCAGAGAGAGGGGAATGGAGGAGATTTAGCATCGAAAACAGCTCTACTTTTGCTCCAAGCCCTGTTTCTTTAGCTCTTCTCTGATGAACAGAGAGAAATGTAAGATAAGAGACTGCAACTGATTCCTTTATCAAAAACGCTCAGTCAGGAAAACGCTATCTTTCACATTTTCACTGTTGTTGACTGTGTACTTCGAACCTGTTGCAGCAAAGCTCTTTATAGTTTGATCATTGCTAAACTCCATCTGCTGAGCACATGGTAAGGAATGAATAATCATGTGGTGAGTATCTGTGTGCTGTTGCCATGAAAAGAGAGCACATCTGCTGACTGGCACTATGCCCACCTGCACAAACTTACACAAGGTCTCATTTTTACAAAGACTGAAACACTCACAAATACAAGCTAAACCTTAAACTGAACTGTATCTAGGTCTGTAATTCTTCTACACAGTTCTCTGCTTGTTTCTGGATGTCTTTCCTACATAAAGATGACAGGTAAGTAGCCATACACAAAATAATTAATGTACATTATATTAATCCGTTTTATTAATCATAATTACAATAGAAATAGAAATAACTAACATTTCTGATTTCTGTCATAATTATGCAGTATTTTGCAAATGATAGGCCTGTTCATTTAACAGACTAATTTGGACAATTAATTCTGACAACAATGCAAAAAAAAATTTACATTTATTAATGCCCCCTTGAAGCGTATTAAAACTCTGCAATGAGGAACTTTCCTATCGTTGGTTAAATTCAAGCTTGAAGTATCACCTAAACACAACGTTCCACAAGACAGCAGTCAGCCTACACCCAGCTGCTAATACAACGCACCTAGCCAAACCACACTTACTAAAAGAAGGCAGCACAAAATCAGTAAGGAGCTGTTCGCACAGGACACGTTTTTCTATATCTTAAAAAACTCTAGACAGAGTGGAACAGAATGCAGGGGTCCAGAGAGTCAAGATGCATTTATCAAAGCTAAGTCTTTAACAAATTGGCCAGTGTGATTGCAAAATGTATTGCTGTGGACTGTACCTTTTTATTCAATGATCTGACAATAAAAACTATTAACTCCTACAGCTTTTTTTGTATATTGTTTTGTAACGGCTGCTGAAAATTCAACTTTGTCATCATAGGAGAATACATTACATTTTCAAATATATCAAACTAAAAAGAGTTTATTAAAAAATTATAATAATATTCCACAATATTACATAACAGACTTGTTAACAGACAAGTATGTATTTAGGTAAATATGACTGCAGATAGATTTGTTGTTACACTAGGCCTTAATGTAACAATTGAAAATCTTATTAAACAATATCATACAATATGTA